AAAATTTTTTTTTTTTTTTTTTTTTTAATAACCCAACCCTGATCTGTACTTTTTCACAACTTTGTCCCTGACCTGTTTGGAAAGCTCCTTGGTCTTCATGGCGCTGTTTACTTGGTGGCGCCCCTTGTTCAGTAATATTGCAGACTCTGGGGCCTTTCAGAACAGGTGTATATATACAGAGATCATGTGCACACATAGGTGGTCTTTATTTAATGGATTATGTGACTTCTGAAGGTAACTGGTTGCACCAGATCGTATGTAGGGGTTTCATAGAAAAGGGGCGAATACAAATGCACGCGCCGCTTTTCCGTTTTTTTTAAAACAAGATATTGTCTTGATTTCACATCACCATTTTGGACTATTTTGTGTATGTCCATTACATGTAATCCAAATAAAAATCCATTTTAATTCCAGGTGGAAATTCAGCAAAATAGGAAAAATGCCTAGAGGGTGAATACTCTTGCAAGCCACTGTACTATCAAAGTAGTTACAGACTGAGTAGAAAACAAGTTAGACCAGTGTTAAAAAGGAACAGATGTGGGGGAATGGCTTGGCGGACATGGTGAAAAGTGACACACATGACTTGTATGATTCCATAACAGACTCATGTCATTTTCTTATACCTGACTGTTGACCAATATCATTATCTTCTGTATTTTCCGGGCTCTGGAACATGGAGTCAAATATATTTTGTGGTAACAATGTGCTCAGAGACTGTCCAGGACTCTAAAACAAGAAGAAAAAAAGAATCTTTAATGTGGATCTAGCATGAATATTCACTTTTCCATGTAATCCATATGGCAGTAACATTATTCTCTTGCAGTTAAAGGAACTCTCTTGCCATGAATACAAATGGTTTTATCCTAGCAACTGAGCTGGGCAGCCTAGACAAAATGGTCTCTGGGTACCAATCGTTATTGCAGTCTGATCTTATGTTTATGGGCACTTCCATACACTTTTGGCCTAGGCTCATGTGGAGAAATAGGAATTAGGCAGGTAAGAAAACCTGTCCAAAAAGAACTGTTTTTCCCCTCATAAGCCAGTGCCAGAAATGTCTACAGACCCCCACCTCTACATCTCCCCATAGGTTTAATCACAAACGATGGCAGGCAAGTGAAGGTCCAACCACCTTATAGTGCCTATGGCCCCACACGATATTGGTTATCTTATACTGATCCCCAGTAAATATCTAAAATCAACAAAAAATACTTTATTTCTCCCACATATCCAAAAGTCTGTGTAAGCATGGCATGCAACAATTGGAGTAGGAGGGGGAAAAAAAAGGAGTAGTGACCTTACATACGCCTCCATATCTCTGGTCCTCCAATTTGTCATTTATTATCCTGGACTGCAGGTTCAATAAGCTAAATCATAGACATCAGAATTGTTCAGTGGCTCCAGGCATTGCTTATATGTACAGCAGACTATATCACTCTACAAAATCCTGTGACTTTTGGTAGCCTGTTCCTCCGAGATGACCCATTTCAAAAATTGGCAGCATGTGACCAGGGAGCCTGAAGACATATCCATAAGACCCATGTTGAAAACAAGGGAGGCTTTTCAGTTTTCTCCAAGAAGGCATAGGGAATCTCTCTAACGAGGACACAGACAAAAACATACTGGAGGAATTTATCAAAACTGGAGCAGAACGAATCTGGAGCAGTTGCCCATGGCAACCAATCAGCTTCCCTCTTCAGTTTGTTCAGTTAAGTTTTTAAAATCAAACAGAGGCTGATTGGTTGTCATGCACAGCTTCTCTAGAGTTTGTCTGCTCCAGTTTTGATAAATTCCCCTCATTGTGTACAGGAACGTCTGACAATGTTTTAAATGCTGTCCGTGCCTGTCCTGGTGGTGTCTGCGTCCTATGCTGGTGACAACCACACCCTCAATTTCTTGTACGGGTGTCACAAGGCCAGCTAGTGATAGAAAATCTTCCCAATAGGGTCAAAGACAGAAATAACTCGACAGAAATGTTAACACTTCCCCATTCCACCCCTACCCACACCTAACAAAAAGTAGGCTTTACTCATTTCAGGACTGGAGCAATTTGTCGTTGTTTAATCACTGTCTCTTGCATGTTACTACTGATTCCTGTCTCTCTCTCTCTTCTCAGCTGAGAAGAGGAAAACAGGTATGAAGGAAGAGCATGTCACAATAACAACCAATCAATGCATTCCTCATATAGTGATCACTCCTTCATGCCATGTATCACTAGACTTTTCAGAACATAAACCTGCAACAGCAGCTCCCACCTGTCATCAGAGGTAAGTGGCTGTTCAGTGAAGCCATTTGCTTTAAGAAAAAAAAACAAAAAAAAACAGACTTCTCATTTTGAGGACTTCTTCTAGTCTAAATGAAGAGATACTGTAGTTACAACATGGACTGTTAGAGACTGCATTTGATGTACGAGTCTCTTAGGCCTCTTTTACACTAATGCAATGAAAACCACAAGCCAAATCTGGGATGATGTTTTCAGTGTGCTGGCGGGGCAGTCATTAAAATCCTTCAAAACATACACTTCTTTGCTTTCCGTGAAGAAAACGTACAAAATGATGCATGCAGCACAAGTTTAACTCACAAGATACTTACATTAGCATTTTCTCGCAGTTCAGATTCAGTTGATAAGGTGCTTAAATCACTTAAACAGAGCCAATGGTTTGTATCCTGGAAAAAACAAACAAAAAACAACATATCATCATCAAGTTTGACGTATAACCATGATTACCCTTCACTCCAGTACACAAAAAGAAAACAATTCAAGATCATAGATGGCCATATACTGTTAGAGTTTTGTTAAAACGTTTGTTTCAAAATGGTTTGTCAGAGCACTTGATGTCATCAATGCTGCAACAACATCTTATTATTTTTAGGTATGCTGTGTGAATAGGAACACAAACATATAGAGGGGTTGTCTCAAATCTGACTGCAAAAGTGGAAACACACAAAGTTCTTTTTGCTATAAAACAGGAGACCCCTTCACTGGTGGGAAGATGAAGAATGAAAGGATTTCACAATATAAGATATTTTCTATATCTCCAAGTGTAGTTCCAAGGCCAAGGAAGCACTTAAAACTGTTCAGCCTTTCTCAAACAGCATGATGCTTTAGCTTTCTAAGCTCAGTGCTACATTTTTATACAGACAGCAGCTGATACAAGTCAAGTCTTTGACTAGGGTTTGCATACACTTTAGGGCCCATTCACACCACATCCAGATCATCTCCAGACCAGACCAGATTGTTTTCCGGGCCCAAAATGCATCCTAATGTATCCCTATGCTATTTCTGGCCTCTGTTCACACCAGCGCAGTCCAGTCCAGAAAAATACTGCATGTCTCATTTTGTCTGGTCTGGAATGCACTGGAGCTGCGAGAGGTTCACACCATTTTCTGGACCAGATCTGGGCCGGAAAATGGTGTGAACCTGCCCTTGGGGGCAGCTAGTGTCAGAACTCAGCTAAACATTTTGGATGGATGAGAATCATAGGAAGCAACCTTATATTTCCCTCTGGTAGAGGGGAGAAGGAAGTCTCCAGCCTTCATGTCAGAAGTTTACTCATAGACCTACATAATAAAATATTTGGGTATACTGCAGAGGCAGAGCTTAAAAGAGAACTATGGGGTAAACCCATTTCCCCCATAGCTCTCCTTAGGGTCACAGGAGGACATAAAATAAACACCCTCCCATGACCCAAAACTCTGTATATAGCATATACAGGTGAAACTCGAATAATTAGACTATCGTGCAAAAGTAATTGCAGTTAGTGCTGCAAAAGGGGCCCAAACCAAGTACTGAGTACATATGCATGCTTGTACTTTTCAGAGGTCCGATATTGTTCTATGTACAATCCTTGTTTTATTGATTGCATGTAATAATCTACTTTTTTGAGGTTGTGGATTTGGGGTTCTTGGGGTTTTCATGAGCTGTAAGCCATATTCATCACAATTATGACAAATCACGGCTTGAATTATCTTGCTTTGCATGTAATGAGTCTCTCACATATATTAGTTTCACCTTTTAAGTTGCATTAGTGAAATAAATGAACTTTGCACGATATTCTAATTATTCGAGTTTCACCTGTATGCTGAGAGCGCTACAGCCAGGACAGATCTTGAAAATACTGTCGAGATCCAGCCCGCTGGCTGATAAGCAGAGTCCGCAGTCAATCTAGAGGCAAAGCTAGCTACGCTGCCCCCACCCCTGTACGTCCCTCCAGTCAATGCTGAAGGATTGGAGAATGGAGGGGGAATCCCTGCGGGGAGCGGTGACTAATCGTCACCGGTCTCTGCAGGGAGATGATCGGGGAAAGTGGAGCGAGTAGTGGTATGTTTTTGCTCACATCTTGATCAATAGAGCCGACGTGTGAGAGTTTCAATGTCACACGTCGGCTCTAACTATGGGGATGAGCGTTATTCACTCACCCCATAGTTCTTCTTTAAATGTACACGGTCACTTTAAGAAATGAAAAATATGAAGACAGATATGATGAAATGCATACACACAGAGGTGTATCAACATCACTGCAGCAGCTTTCAGTACTCCCTGTTGTGCCTGAATGCCAAGATATTAAGATAAGCAAATCTCGGACAGGACCAGGCAGTGTCTGAGCTTTACTGGTCTGCCACACCCTTTTTACCCCAACAAATACCTACTAGCCTATCACTATTATGCACTGCCTCACTAGCCAATAAGAATGAGCATGATGGGGGTGGGAAAGCTTTACATTATCAGGAAGTGCTGACGCTTTAACTGTCTGAAACGACCAACATTTGGGTGAAGCAGGAGGTGCTGAAAGCTGCTTAAAAAGAACTTTTCCCACCAATTTCATGTCTTTTAAAACAGCTACTTTTAAGACATGCCAACTATTGAGGTTGCCAGGGTGCTTATTTCAGCGCTCTACCAAACTTTCAAGCCCTCAAATGGCTGGTGTCATAGCTGATCACATGTTCAGCACCATGGCAAGTGCAATCCAAATAGAAGCCAAGATGGGCCCTTCCTTGGCTGTAAGGGATAGGAGGTTGTAGTTCCCCTTGAAGGTATGTGCAGGCACCTGTCAATCTTCATACCAGTCAGGAGCTTTTTTTTTTCTTAACGTGTCAGACTGTTCAAAGGTAGAAATCCAGACCCCGACTTGCATCACAACCTTTAAAAGTGCATGGCAAGTGTACAGATTTAGAGAGGAGCCATATTATTACTGCTATCTGCCCTCTCGACCTTCCAACCAAAATGTTTAAATATCAATTTGCTTTGAACACCACAAGCAGAAAGCATTTTACATCAAAATATTCTAGAATATATATTTTGGTACAAACAGGATAATCATACCTATGTATGCATGTCATTGTAACAATGTAATATGTTCTATGCAAGACAAAGCTCGTCTAGAAGTAAAAACTAATACCTCACACACCTCGTGACTTGGGAATGGATCTTCTAAATTAGCAAGTTCATGCCCCTTCAGGTCAACCTTCAGGCTGTATTGCGTGCTGAATGTCTTTTCATATCCATCATTAGTGCAGAGAAATGGTCTTTCCCCTGTCACAATATATGCAAACACTGTAATTATTATTTGCTTTCCTTACAGTATTACTGTGAAAGAATCAGGTGTAGCAGACTTACCACTATGCTTCCTAGCATGCGTTTTCAAGTGATGACTGGCAGCAAACGCTTTCCCACAACCGTCGTGATCACACCTGACAGGAAGAACAACAAACCTATATTGCAATGATTGTACCACCACAGAAATAACATATACAGGCATATAGGACTCACCACACCTACCCAAGACTTTTTACTACAGCCCAGTAGAGGTGACAGGCATCCTTCCAAAGTAATTGTGTGTGTTGTGTGTGGTGTGTGTGTGTGTGTGTGTGTGTGTCCTCTTCCTCCCCTCTCACTCATTTGTGTCTGCTCCTCTTCATCCCCTCCACTCCCACACATACATTTGTGTGCGTCTCCTCCTCTTCCTCCCCTCCCAACCATGCATTTGTGTGCGTCTCCTCTTCCTCCCCTCCCACACATGCATTTGTGTGCGTCTCCTCCTCTTCCTCCCCTCCCACACATGCATTTGTGTGCGTCTCCTCTTCCTCCCCTCCCACACATGCATTTGTGTGCGTCTCCTCCTCTTCCTCCCCTCCCACACATGCATTTGTGTGCGTCTCCTCCTCTTCCTCCCCTCCCACACATGCATTTGTGTGCGTCTCCTCCTCTTCCTCCCCTCCCACACATGCATTTGTGCGAGTCTCCTCCCCCCCCTCCCCTCTCACATATACATTTCTGTGCGTCTCCTCCTCCCTCTCACATATGCATTTCTGTGCGTCTCCTCCTACCCTCCCACACATGCATTTGTGTGCATCTCTTCCTCCCCTCTCATACATGCATTTGTGTGTGTCTCCTCCTCTTCCTCCCCTCACACATGCATTTGTGTGCGTCTTCTCCTCTTCCTCCCCTCTCACACATGCATTTGTGCGAGTCTCCTCCTCTTCCTCCCCTCCCACACATGCATTTGTGTGCGTCTCCTCCACCCCTCCACTCTCACACATGCATTTGTGTGCGTCTCCTCCACCCCTCCACTCTCACACATGCATTTGTGTGCATCTCCTTATCTTCATCCTCTGCACTTGTGTGCGTCTCCTCCTCTACCTCCCCTCATTTGTGTGCGTCTCCTCCTCTACCTCCCCTCCACTGATTTGTGTGTCTCTCCTTCTCTTCCTACATGGTGCAAGCTGCTGGCCGGCAGCACCATAAAAACCAATGACACTGTGCAGCCCGGCCATCTGCACTATGGAAACACATGACACTGTGCAGAGCCTCCTAGCCTGGATAACGAGGCCACTCCTCCTGCCGACCGAAACCTGTACTGCCTAGTGTCATATAGTCACACCACCATTACTGAATTTCCTTTGCGTATCCCTAATAAATTGGGTACTATTTTATTTTAGACAGGGAACGGTCACTTTTTATGAAGTTTGCAATGATAGCCCACAATTTTTCTTTCATGACAGGGTTTCATGAATATTAATCACCGTAAATTGCCTGCCATGTCTTAGATAGTAAAGTCTCACCTGAAAGGTTTCTCTCTGGTGTGGGTTCGAATGTGTTTTCGCAAGTCACTGTGCGTAGTGAAATATTTGCTGCAGCCCTCTGTCACACAATTAAAAGTTTCACCAGTGTGAAGCCTTTTGTGGGCTCTCAACCTGCAGAAATAGGAATTATAACAACTATAAACATGGACACCACTTTAAAGTTCCTATGAAATATAATTGCCATGAGCAACACAGATACTCTTCATCCAAGCATGTGTGCATAAATGAATGTCAAAGTGCATTTAAAGTGCAAACAATTTTTTGTTTGTTCTACATAAAGCAGAGAATGGCTATATCCTGTCAGGTTATCTTTTGCTGCCTGTATTCTGGCGTGGAATATTCAATTTACTTCCTGTCCCGAAGAGGCAACAAGAAATGAGAGGAAATCTCTTCGAAGAGTTATCTCACTTGGAGTTTTCCCTCATGTCTTGCTCTAGTGACAATTCTGAAATGTTGGATTTGCCATCACTTGCAGTCTCACTGGTAATGGTTACCAGGAGAAAGCGTGAATCTCCAGAGCGGAGACACAAATAGCAAAAACAAACCTGACTTGGGTTCTTCCCACCCTTTCCCACTCTATCCAATACAAAAAAAACGTTGCCCTTACATACACTAACACTTTAGCAATCTGTTCTGTGCGGAACTTTCAGTTACACTCAAACGTAAAGGTTAAATGTAGCTGGGAAATTACCATAACAGTAGCAAAGAGCTAGGGACAGATTTCTTTTGGACTTCAGTGACAACCTTATTTGACCTAAAAACAAAGCCGCAAGGCAACAAAATGATGGAAACATCACATACAGAGGTGGATGGTGGGGCACAGTGCTATGCAATGAAACTATTAACCCTGTTTTGTTTAGAGTGGGGTTGGCACATCTGCTGAAACGCTCCTCCTAGCGTAAGGGCTAGTGAGTTGTATTGCACACTGCCCGAGCCGTCACCATTTACATTTTGTTTTTCTTTTGAACTTTATTTGAAGCGTACAATGTGTACACTCCTTTCAGGTCCCCACACAGAAGTGTGTGTGCTGTGCTGCTGTGTGGTGACCTGCAGTGGCACCCAGTGTGCTACAATAAAAATACAAAAGGCTGCATTTTTCGCAGCACAGATCCCACCCGCATTGTGTAAAAGGCAGGTCACTGCTATAAGTGTAAACAGGGCCTCAGTATATTAGTACCGTTTTGCTGGAAGACAAATCACACTCCAAAGTAAGCTACATAAGTACCACAAACTCCTTATGATCACTACTTTCCTCCACAAATGTTCTTCAGCCTCTCTCATGTCACAAATGATAAGCTTCTCCTATTCTGCTTCCCAAAGCAAGGTAGCTGCAGAACTGCCAAGGATGTTAGTCTTGAGAGAGGAGGATACAGGAACATCAGCAACTCTTTGGCACTCAGACATAATCACACAGTTAGCACTGTCGGAATGTGACTATGGCCCTGGGGGTACATAGGAACCCATGACAGGGTAGTGACTTTAACACTGCTGCTACAACAGGGGGAAGATCTGATAAGATTTTGCTGGCCTAAAAATAGAACATTTTCCTAGATTTATTTGGTAAAATATCACAAAAATAGGGCCGTCATTCAGATTCCCACAAGAGGAGCCATGTGCTTTAATTCTGCAAGAGAAAGGATCTAACATCTCAACAGTTATAGTTCACAATGCAGTGAAAATTCATTCTTAGCCTGGAATATTTAAATGCCCTCAGTGGCCGCTTGGGCACTGTCCGTAGATAGGGAAGATGGTTGGTAAAGATTAATCCAGAAGGCAGGGCCCAGCAACAAAGGGAAGAAGTTGGCTTTAGAGAGGCACTCGGTAAAGGGGTTTTTGACTAGCCAATATAATAGCAAATATCTTTAACATTTACAATTAAAAATCCTGTCAAGAGTAAACACTGTAAATGCCCCCTTATGCTATTAATAGGCCCCATTACACACCTCAGATCAGCAAATGACCCATGGCAAAGGCTGTGCCATCTTCCATTAAGCTGTGGCTTATTGCACATGCCTAGATTTTCTCCATAGATTCTAGACAAATCAACTACTTGTATGCCTTCAGTAAAACTGTTTCTTCATTATGGTCATCAACAATACTGTACAATACTGTGCAGCCCAGTGGAAGACTGGAGCGTAGCCCAGCATAGGCCATGGCTTCTGTTCACCTCCTTGTCTAAGGTTCATAGGTGGGCCTATTAATGGCAAGATGAGGGTGAGCAGTTAAGAGTTAACATTATTATAAATATAGTTATGCTTTAAAGTTGAACTCCAGTATTAACCACTTGCCGTCCGCCCGTAGTAAAAAAAACGGCCGGACGGCACTGCAGCATTGGCGGGTTGCCGTAAAAAAATAAATATAAATAAAAAAAAAATAAAAGTAACATAAAAAAGTAAAATAAAATAAGTCGCATATAAAAAAGGGGAAAAAAAACCCCCACAATGTTTAACTCCCCCACGTTTACGCGCCTATAAACGTAAATACGCATCCGGTGCCCCAGCGCGCAAAAATTACAATTGCGCTACACGTTACATATCGCCGCAGTGACTGCAGCGCTGAATACTGAAAAATGGCCTGGATGGGAAGGGGGTTTAACACCGCAGATGTCAACTGGTTAAAAATAAAAAAAATAATCCTTGTAGTGGGGCTACCCCTGCAATGCTCGTTTTGGTCTAGGTGGCAAATAAAGACCATATACTCACCTAATCCTCAATCCCACAGAGCTGCCAGACTGGCCCCTGCAGCCTCTTCTGCACTGGGCTCCAGCGGTCTAAGGAATGCTGATGTAATCACGTCTAATGCAGGTCCATTCACTTGCATTAAATGTGAGGACGCCAAGGGATATAGCACAGCCAGAGCAGAGGGGCAGAGAGGTAAGCGCTGACTGCCACAAGGCTGAGGATCAGGTGAGTACAGCTTCTGTATTCCAGCCCTTAGACTAGGCAGAGACGGCGATGGAGGAGGTGTCGCCAAGGGGCCAGTCAAGCGGCGAAGCTGAGACGATTGGGCGCCGAGGCAGCAGTGAAGGCTGGGCTTCCCGTGTAAGGTAGGAGCACTGTGCTGGCAGGGCCCAGCATACATTATGCACAGCCCACCAAAGAGTCACAGGAGGGCTGTGCAATACCTTTTAGTGGGCTTTGCAGGATCCATGAGGGGTCTGCAGCCTGCAAAGTCCACCACAGCTGAAAGCAGGTCATGATGGCGGAGTCAGAAAAATCAAATCCCTAGCAAAAATCTAAATTAGAGAAGCACACAGAAGGTAATAAAAGGTAACAGCAGGGACATTGAGTAAACTCTACAAAGGATTAAAAGAAAAAAAAAAAAAGTTTAAAGGGAACCTGAAAACAAATACAAATATCCCTTACATTACATTTTTGATCTTGCGTTTAGATACGCTTTAAAAATGGTAACAGGTTTACTTTAGTATGGTACAGTATAAATTTACCCCCCCCAAAAAAAAAAACAGTCACTGCAAACCGATGCACTCGCACAAAACACAATACATTTGTCCCAAAAAGGGAGATCACGACCAGTGTGAAAATGACTATATAACAAAGCAATATGTATTCTTTTTTTATACTCCTATACTCATTGTCACACTGGCCATGATTTCTTTCTGCTTTGGGGCACATTTATTGCAGGTTTTGGGGCAGTGCCTTGTTTTGTAGTGAGTTTTTAATGTTTACCATGAACCCTCCATCCAGTCTATGTGTCCCCAAATCTCTTTTAGATTATACCTTTTGCTACAGGTGTACCTTAGTCATGCTTTGTACAATGTATGACTTCAGCTAACACTCATTCAGCATTCGGAACAAGCCAACATTTCTGGCTTGAAGGCTAAGTGCACGTTTCTGTCCATGTTTCATACTTCGGGTGTAACATGAAACATGGACAAATCGCAGATCCAGCATCCTCCCACCCAATTACTCGAATCGCAGAGTTCTTCTCCCCACAGGCTACTTCTTGCATGCAAAGTGACTGTTCATGGCTCCAACCACACAGCCACATCATCCATTCACAGATCCTTTGAGAGGTGTTGTGTGGTTTGGTGATGTCACCACACTTGTAGTCCACTGACACTTCCTTCCGTCCATGTTACTTGTATGTACCTCGGTATGGACATGGAAGAACAGTCTGCAGGAGTCAAAGCATTGCACCCACGATCTACTGATTGTGGTTTCAATGCTTTACTGGCTCATGTGCAAAAAAAAAAGATAAATGCAAATTTTTTTGTCCTTTTATGAAGATGTGTGCATTTATTGATTGTTTTGCAAAAGGTAAACAACTTCCTTTTAACAAGTATGTCCTGTGAAATGATGCAGTCAACAAGTATAGCAATATTTCAGAATAGTCTTTGTGGTCCTTGAAAACATGTACGTCCTGTAAAGCAAGGTTAACACTAAACCACACAGAATGCTAAAAGTATGGGGTATGGGCCCTTACCTGTAAAGGGTGTTAAAAGCTTTTTCACAGCCCTGTACGTCACATTCAAATGGCTTCTCTTTAGTGTGTACACGTACGTGGATTTTGAGACTATAGGATGTAAGAAATGCTTTCCCACAACCCTCCTGATTGCAGACAAATGTGTATTCGCCTCTGTGTGTTTTCTGGTGTGTGCGCAGATTTCCAGCAGTACTGTACGTTCTTAGGCAGCCTTCAAAGGTACACTGGTACCGCTTTACCTGTAACACAACAACGTGACAAGTTACTAGACGGGAAATACTTCACAAATAAAATATGTGAAAATGATCGCGACTTGAAAAGTTACAAAAATTGTAAAAATCTTCCCCAAGAGCTGAAAGGCCATATAAACCATACCTGCATGGCATTTAGCTGGTTAAAGCACTGCGTATTATAAATTACTGGGGTGTTTTTTTGTCCTAAAATAGTGTTTTCACCCTTTTCTAACATGTTTTGTATATGTGCTGCTGATCCCATCCACTTTCGCCTACATGCATCCACTGAAATGTATTGCTCTGAACCAGCGTAGTAAAAACAGTGGACTACGTCTGTACAATTTGTGCCTGCATAGCCGCTTGCAGTCTTCATCAGGGGCACATGTGACAAGAGTGACCACACAGGAGTAAGACTGGAAGACGATTGTCATCCTATTACAGGAAGTGACTAAACCTTCATGGCGGAATCACTAGTTCTTAACTACCGTACTTAAACCATTTCTCTGCCAGGGCCTGCTCGCCATTTTCTCAGGTGGCCAGACTTTTTTTTTTTATTATTCTTCACTTACAGCTTTGTAGAGTTCAGGTTCAGAGGATTGGAATAATAGCTAAAGCACAAGGCTTTACATGTGCCCCAACTGCTCCATAATGTAGGGACCTACGCCAGCAGTGGAAGGATGCTCTCTAAGTAGTTTGATCTCTTCTTACATGGTTTGACAAATCAAAGTAACCACTGACAGGATATTGAGCAGCAAACCAGGTACGTCAAAGTGGGATCTAAGGAGGGAATTCACCTATTAGGGAAGTCCCTAAAGTTAAGTATACTTTTGAATCTTGGAGTGGAATCTCTGTTAACGTGGATCATTGGAGCATCCACATTCTGCATCAGTGAACCCCTTCGCAATGAGGAAATACTCAAGACAGTTTCAAGTGGCGCCTTCAACCTTTCAAGGCGTTTCCAGTATGGCATAAAAGTCCTCTAACACTGGATGTAGCAGAAAGGTATTTGCAGCCACAGGAGCGCTAAAAGACCCAAAACCTATTACAGCAAGCTGATCCGCCAAATGCAGGGTGATATGCACTGCATCAATAGGGATAGAAACATTCCCTTGTATATCCGAGTCGAATCAGGTGACTGCGGTGACCCCAAAACAGCCTCTACAGACCATTGGGATTCTGCATCTGAATCAGAAATGACAGCAGGAGCTGCAGACCTGGTTTGACTCACAGGAGGGTTAGGGGCAGATACTGCCGAGGATGGCAATGCAATTAGCTTAGATTCTCTAGCAAGTATTTGTTCACAAACACCTAGGGAGTCTCTAGTGGGCTTAGAGGAGGCCTCAGTCCTGTCAGACAGAGATGAAATGGATCTCAGGTTCCAGATTATAAAGCATCAGTTCCATTCAGGAATACCGGATAAAAGGCCCTAAAACTAAATCAGGGGAGAATGGGATGATGTCACTTGTAGCAGCAGAACTGGACTCTACTCTGTGTATCTTGGAGAATACATGGTGCGCTGAGTGGCAGTCAGCAAGAAGACCCAATATGAGCCAAAGCCTTATGTATTTGAAAACTTAGGCAGCTGATGCTGATGAGTTTTAGGCAGCCAGAGGTGACCAAGTCACTGTAGGTAAGAAGTGGAATGGAACTGGAAGTCCTCTTGCTGCTTCAAGAGCAGGAGTAACAGCGGGATTCCTCTAGGCTAAATAACAACAAAGAGCCACAGCTCTAGACCTGGAGAGCACTTTGTACACAGGAGGTTTGGCAAGCCCACATACAGAGTTCAGTCCCCAAAGGTCCAGGCGAATATTCCAGGCTAGCCCTTGCAAACTTCCAACCCAGTGGGGTCCGAGGATTGCCTCCAAAGCGGTTACTGAGGTAAGAAAGCTGATGCAGATAGCTGCTGTGTAGAGACTAGCTCAAGCAGCGTATTCGAAGTCTTGACTGAAGTCACTGGAAATATATCTATCTATGAGTATAAAGTATCTTGACTAAAGAAAAAAGTAGAATGAAAAAATAAGAATTAAAAAAAAGGCCATATTTTTTTCTCAGCTGAGCTGAGGAAAAAGCATCACACCTCCCCTAGGGTACTATCAAAATAACGAGGCATGACAGTTAGAGATGGGGTTACAGGGGGGCTGGCATTAAACATTTGTTTTTCTGTTTGCCCTTGTCAAAACTTCTGTAGGCAGTAGTATAACCCCACAGCTAAGAATGACTACATTCCTGGTTTTCCTTAATGAATGATAAAGAAAAAAAATGTTTAGTCAGGGATATGTGAAATACTGCATATGAATATTTGTATTGTATGCAGCCAGAAGGTGGCGCTCTTGGCTCCTTTCCACAGGCTCCTCTGCTGAAAAAAGCCCATTTACCACACTCAATAGCTCAAACTTTACAGACACACACACACACACACACACACACAATTCCATCTCCCCACTCTTTTTACCCTACAATTTTTTTTAAAGGTTCTATACAAAGTCTGAAAAGAAATAGATTCTGCTATAAAAGTATAAAAAAAATATTTTGTTGGGCCGCCTTTAGCTTTGATTACGGCAGGCATTCACCGTGGCATCATTTCTATAAGCTTTGCAATATCACAACATTTATTTCTGTCCAGTTACATTTTTCACGAAGAGCTTGTAGTGATGATGGGAGAGTCAGACCACTGCCTAAAGTCTTCTCTAGCACATCCCAAAGATTCTCAATGGGGTTAAGGTCTGGACTCTGTGGTGGCCATTCCATGTGTGAAAATGATGGCTCACGATTCCTGAACCACTACCGTATTTAAAATTTGAGGTCATTTTGAAATATGCCTGTGCAATCAGCAGGGGTGTGGAATTCCTATCACCTAACGCCCATGACATGCAGTTTCGTGCGCCGGGCGAGTCGTTTTTTGTACATTTAGCACTGCTTCGGGCAAGCAGAGGTAAATGTACAGCGGGGAGCCACCGCTCATTATATACAAGTGATCTGATCAGATCACTTCTATCAAACGAGCAGCAATGTTGTCGGTACCCAATCGATAACGAAAAACTGGTATTAAAACTATTTTTTTTTGTATTGGGACAAGTAGATTGTCATGAGGGACAAGTAGATTCAGCCCCTACTTTAGCCCTTGGACAAGTAGGTTTTCTTTACATTTCCACACCCCTGCATCAGGGAAGAAAAAAATCAGTTGATGGAAAAACCTGGGTCATTCAGTAAATTCAGGTAGATCAGCTGACTTCAGCTCATTTTGGGTACATAAGGTTGCAGAACCTAGACCTATTATGCATTGGAAGGCTTTAAATCTATTTGCTAAGCTAAATCCAGGTGATGACTTCTTTGGCCAGACAGTGTATTTCAACTTAATTCTCCTTTAATTTGCAAAAGACAAAAAAATAATATGACTCACCAGAACCACACACTTCTCTCTTGCAGACATTAGGTGGAAACAATGTTCTATCCAAATTATATTACATCTGTAAAGCTGCTACGTGTGGGTATCACATGGCTGCATGTTGTACATACACCACATATACAAGCTTTTTTTGCAATGCATGATAATTTCCTAACAGGTTATTAGATAACCACTCTGGGCCACATGTAAACGTGTATGTTCAGAACGCACTCCACCCCACTACTCAGTGAAACTGAGCAGCTTATCATTAATGACCCACCCTCTCTGGTTGTGTAAGAGTTGAAGAAAAAAAAAAATGCACAGTCACACTAAATATTAGGAACTGCACACAAATGGCAATGCTAGAGGGATTTAAAATTAGCCGTACTTGTCAAAACAACGCCAGCATACACACTGACTTCAAGATAAGCCCATGACTGTTTGCTACAATGTCAACATTTCTAAACTTTATAGAAAGTTTAGATATTATAGGCTGGAAGGGGGGACTTGGGCAAAAATGTAAAAGGCCGATCAGGTTCGCCAGGCCCGAATGGATGCCCAATGCTAGTGTATAGGCATCCATTTACACCCAGTTACCACTCCCGACTCCGGCCAGGCCCAGAAAAACAAATAGATCAGAGATCTGTTTCACCGGACCCGATTGTGCCAGATCGGCGGTTATTTGATGTAAACGGACACGTCGGTTTACATCTAACCCCCCACAGACCGACATGGGGTCGGACAGTTTTAGTTCTTTTCACCATTACAAGATGGAGGAAAGAACTGCACGGATACAGATGTGACATCCAATCCATACAGCTCTGATCAGGAGGGGATCTGTGCAAAGATTCCCTCCTGATCAGCCCGAAGGAACGGGGCCAAACAATCAACAACAGAGGGTTCATACACATACATACAAGTTTAATAAAAGTGACCTCGCAGCACATACCTGTAATAGAAGGCAATATAATCTGACGGACAATTTTGTTAAAACGCAATCTCTTCACTGCTCCTCAGACTGCTGTACGTTTTTCCACACTTTGGGGTGTGTGGAATACCTGCTTCCCACTTACACGTCGAGGTTTCTTCCACTGGCTCGCAAGTCACTGACAGCTGGAGGAATCATTGTGTGCAGTGGGGAAAAAGTTGGCCAGTTGAATATCTGTGGTAGCCGGTGAGGCTGCTTTTCAACAAAGGGGGCTGCCAGAAAAGTTAGTATAGTGCTACTTATAACAGGTATGTAATCCCTGTGCTGATTGGGTCACTTTAAAGTTTATCTAAAGCCATAAATTTTACTTTTGATGGAGTAAATAATTCCTGTCCGTTTTTGGGGTTTTACCGCCGTGTCCCGCTGGGGAAATTGTCATTCACTTCCTGTTTCAAAGGCGTTACTGAAAGGGCGAGAAGAAATCCACCCTCGTTTTCACCGGGACAGGTGTACATATAAGCAGATATACCCCGCACACCAATCTCATTCTCAATTGGAGAATGAGATTATTAGAAATTACATAACAGGGAATACAAAGAAGGTTACACTACTTCTGTCTTCACCAAAGAGTAGAGTAGACTCAGCAGAACCTTCGTTAAAAAAGGAAATCTTGCTTACAGTGGAAGTAACACTTCTCCAATTTAGCTTCTGTCTTCTGAAAAAAAACGTAGTCTCCTTGACAAAATTCTCATATATAAAAACACAAAAAAAGGAAATGCTACAAAAAACTAGAGCAGGATTTTCAAACTCCGTTCCATCATGGGCTGCATCAGCATTATAGTTGCCCTTGAAGGGCCAGTTATATCTGTAAGACTATATAGATGTATCTACCCCTATCATATTAAAATAATTGCCTCTGCATTCGATTATTACTGGTTTTAGTAATAAACTTAATAACTAGCTCTGAAAGTAGAAGTCTAGGAAAAATAATGGCAATTAGTGTAATAGTGTGGACTCTCAGGTGGCTGTGCGGGTTCTATGGTGGGCTGTGCAGGGTGTATGGTGGGACTTAGGAGGGTTGTGTGGTCTCACCAGGGGTCCCAGCCGGTCTCGGCAGATGCGGGTGGTGTGGATCCACAGGAAGGAGGAGATTTGCTGCCGGCGCTGTAAACAGACACTGCGATTCACAGGAAGGCTGCCAGAATGCGGACCTCTACAACCTTCCTGTGAAGCCCAGCGCCTGTTTAAAGCTTCGGCTTTGATTTAAAAATTTGAAGTCCCACTACAAGTCCCAGTATTCCAAGCACTGCTGTGCATGCATACCCCATCTAGTCTTCTCTGCTCTGACATGCACAGACAGCATCCAAAGCCGGTTTGTAGTCTCTCTCCCAGGAGAGTGCATAGAAGGGTGGTCCCATAGGACCCTATAGGGGAATGGAGCCACTTGCGCTCATAAGCAATCTTATGACCGGTCTGATGAAGAGGAAAGGAAAGCTTTTAAAGAAGAAGCAGCAGACAAGGTAAGGGAACTTCCCTTCCCCTAGTACTTTCTGTGTAGATCATACCCACTGCTCCAAGACGTCAGCTGTGTGACCTGCTCAGCATCGCAAAGCCTCTGGGCCAAAAACATCTGAATGGTACCCATACATGCATGTCTTGCCTACTATTCTCTGTAATGGAATGCCAGAACACAGCCTAAAAGGCCTAAAGACTGAGTAGTCACAGGGCAGCCACACAGTTAAGATCTTTTGTTTGAAGGTATGATGTGCATTGAAGAAGCTGGGGGAGGTGAAGAGGTTCAGAAAAGCATAAGTGTACTGAAGCAAACCTTGCTGAACACTAAAAGGGCACGCTAATATGTATTCAGAAATATTATGGATGTGCAAATGGTAAAAGATTTGTTTTGTTAAACACACAACTTTTGCATTGTTCTAATCTTCTTCAAAGATTTCAATGATTTGCGAGGAGCAGGATAAAGGTGTGAATGGAACTCTGATATTGAGCCACACGTTACAGATCACTGCGAATGTCGGAGTGCGAGCAATAATTCTAGGGCCATCAATCACTATTAACACTAAATCGATGAGCGGTAAAAGCGGCGCCTATGGCCATTTTGGGTATTGTCGTTTTTGGGGATTTCACGGGCACACCCAATTTTAAAGCTTGACACGTTTGGTATTTATTTACCAAAAATATAAAATATCTTTTATATTTTACCAAAAAATGGGGTAATATTGTGTTTGTGTGCGCTAAAACTCATTTTAGTGTATTTTACCCTAAAAATACTGATGCGATACACATTTTTGCAAATATTGTACAACAGAAAATTGCAACTAGCGTTTTTTATTCTACAGGGCCTCTGCTGTCAGAAAATATAGAGTTGGATGGGGGATTTAAGCTGTTTTCTAGGCAAAAATTCAGATTTTATCATGCGTGTGCATAATGAAGAAATTCCTCTGGACAAGAAATAGTTAAAGCGACATCAAAGAAGAACTATGGCGTCAGTGCTTTTCCCCATAGTTCTCCCTAGGGTAATGGGAGAACACAAACTAGCATCCTCCCGTCACCCTAAGCTCAGTATAACGCGAGCTGAGACACCGCAGCCGGGACGGTTCCCGACATTACTGTCGAGATCCACCCAGCTGCGCGACAGCTGGATCTGCCTATCTAGAGGCAGAGCCAGCTGTGCCCGCCCGTTCCGCCAGTCAGTGCTGGAGGATCGGAGCGGGGAAATCCCTGAAGGGAGCAGTGTGTGACAGTCACGGCTCTCTGCAGGGATAGATCAAGAAGTGAGCGAACGCCGGTATGTGTTCGCTCACTTCCCAATCTACTGAGCCGACCTGCGAGTCTCATTGTCACAGGTCGGCTAGAACTATGAGGTGAGGTGAAAAGCACTCACCTCATAGTTCTCCTTTAAACCTTTCTTTTTTTTTTTAAATGATCTTTTTTATGGTGGCCAGACTTTCTGGAAAAAAAAGAAAAGGGAGTTCTTGTATCTTATTTCTTTTAAATTCCTCATTCTCAAGTGGTATCCAGACCACAAGCCCCACCCCCATACGGGTGCCTCCATAAGCTAGCCGACTGCTGTGAAGGCACCTGTATATGAACGATCATGGCTGTGCCCGCACCTAGCTGAGTGCGCCCAAGGATGGGGGGGCGGGGGACAGCACGCGGCCAGCCACGCCCCACCCTGCAGTCAACAGCTTGACTGATGGCAGAAGAGCCTATGGCTCTTCTGCCCTCAGTACCCTCCCCTGCAACCAAAACATTTGAGGAATACAGTGTATCTTCCTGGTTGTGGCAGAGGAGACGAGCGGCTGCAGGTGGGTTTGGGGGTTGTGTGTTACAAACGTTCTGGGTGTTTTTTGCATTGATGCAGAGAATGCATTAAGGCAAAAAACACCCAGCCTTTATTAGTACTACAAAACCAGATAAAAAGCGCTTTGGATAGAGTGGGGAAGTGGCAATATGTGACCCCGTTAGAGATATTTTGCTTCCTATCCTAGTAACAAAGGCCACAATAACAAGACAACTAGTTATGGCCTAACCTGGCTTATGCGGCAATCTAACTATTCACTCATTAATTGTCCAGGTTTACTTATGAATGATTTATATTATCAACTTGTTTAGTTTTACTTACTTTGTCTAAGCTTGACACTTGAGCTGGATTATCAGGTCAGAGGTTAACTAAATCTGAAGGTCTTCTCAAAGAAAATAGCAGCATGGGGTACAAATGATTACTCTTCATTATTGCCTTGATAAAGCGTTGGTGCACATGGAACGGTGTGGCAGCAGGATCTTTTCATAGCTTTGATATGGAACAATTCTTAGCAATAAAAAGGAGTAAGTTAGCTCAGCTGTGAGTGCCTCACATTGCTATTGTCTTTGGAAAGCTAAATAACTATTTCATCTTCACTGGTGAGCACCTGAGATGCTCTGGCAGTATGGATGCACGGATAGGTCCAAAAGCTGGGCTGGAGAAAGGCATAGCTCTTCCTGCATCTGTGACCTAAATATTACCCTTCAACAAAGACCATGTGACCAATGCCTCAGCAAAGCGGACCTCAAATAAGACAGGTTACAAAATCTGGCCTTATTGCTACAATGATCAGTGGCACAGTGCTGGCACCACATATCTGCTCCCACAGGAATCTTATTAAACATTTTATCTCCACCAAAGTGCTGTCGGATCATGTCTGCATGTCTGCTCATCCTCTGAAATCTAAGGGAAAATTAAAATGCAACAGTACAAACTTTTTAAAAAAATGTTTTTAGACAGGCTGAAAGAAAAGGTCTGATGCAGAACTAAAGTCCCCATCATGCTGGATGGGCTCTTACTAAAATACAGGAGCACCTTATCACACACTTACCTGCCAACGCATCCTTCTCCAGCAATGACAGGTCTAGGATCCTGTTGCCATTTTGACATCACCGGCATGTCCATCGCAACTTTTTCCGTGTCCTACAACACTGCTTTTTGGCCCTGGGATGGCCATTGATGCTGTCATTTTTACAGAAGTTACATTGTCCCCAGCTCTATTCCTGGTAGGGATGCACAGATACCGGTTTTTCGGTATCGAGTACCTATATATATTGAATATTGCTTCTGACCTGAAGAAGAGAGGTTCACTCTCGAAAGCTTGTCTTTTATATAATTTTGTTAGTCTGATAAGAAAGGTATCATTGCACACTGCAATACTGCGGTTTTTTTTAACGTCTTGTCTACTGGACTAATACGGCTTACCCATTTATCCATTTATAGTGCACTTATATTACATATTTATTTTTTTTATTCGCCGACTCCAAATACCAATAGCGGAAGTCACTTTAAGAAAGCTGGGCAACATGTGACTCGCCGCCCAGCTTCCCGATTAGCCGGGGAACCGTCACCAGGTGACGAGGAAGCATGGTACCAGCTTCACGACCAATCAAGAAGCTAAGCAGCGAGTCATTACACGCCCCAAGGCTTCCTGATTGGCCAGGAAGCAGGCACCATGCTTCCTCATCACAAAGTGACGAGGGAGCGTGGAGCCAGCTTCCCAGCCAATCGGGAAGCCGGGGTGTGAGTCATTACCTGCCCTCCGGCTTCCCGCTTGGCCGGGAAGCCAGCTACCATGTCACTTGGAAGAATGGAGCCGGCATGCCGGGCAGCATGTAATGACTCGCCGCCCAGCTTCCTGATACCAGAAGTTCCGGTATCGGGAGCATTTGGGCAAGTACGAGCATGCAGAAAACAGAGCTGGAATGTGTACTGCATGCCGCATGGGCCATGCAGTGTACACAGAAGAGACGTGTGAAAATAAATCACTAGGAGCCTAGAGGAAAAAAAAACAAAAAACAAGAGACCTTGCTGTATCTTCCGCAAAAATGTAAACTACTAGAGATTCTTTCTTGTGGGATTTTGGTTTTTACAGCGGTCTGAAAGACCCTTTTGATAGATTTTCCCTCACTGCCTGTTCAACTGACAGCACTAGACAGGAAGTCAGGGGACATCAAGGCAGCAAAGACTAAAATGATTCCGAGGCTTCCTCATCTTATCCAACGCTAAAAGCAGGGTGGAAGTAATACAAATTGGAGCACACATAATCTGGAGCAGTTGCCCATAGTAACCAAGCACCTATACTCAAGTTAATTCAGTTAAGCCTTGAAAATTAGATAAGCTGATTGGTTGCCTTTAGGAACTGCTCCAGATTCTGTCTGCTCCAGTCTTGATAAATTTCCCTCAATGTGTTTTGACTGATGTCTTACTATACAGACAGTCAAGCAAAACTGGAGTGTGCTGGGAAACTTTTTACTGTTTTACTATACAGACATACCCTTCAAATACTGCTTCCCCCCCCCCCCTCCCCCCCCCCCAAACCCAAAACACTGTCCCTGTAAAGAAAAAAAAAAATGCACCAGTGGAGAAAAGTAAGAGAACATGCTCACCTTACAACGAGCTTTCACCTGTGGCACCTAAGTGAGAGTAATGTCACAGTTCTTGAGGCAAGATCCTGAATATGCTGAGAGTCTTAAAAGGAGAACTATGAGATGAGTGATTTCCACTCACCTCATAGTTCTAGCCGACTTGTGACAATGAGACTGTCACAGGTCGCCTCAGTAGATCGGGAGGTGAGCGAACACATACTGGGTTCCCTCACCTCTCGATCCTGTCACGGCTCTCTGCCGTGACAGGGGGAGGGGCTGGATTCCCCTCTCCCCGCTCCGATCTGCCAGCGCTGACTGGCGGAACGGACGGGGGAGGGGGCGGGTACAGCTGGCTCTGCCTCTAGATAGGCAGAGCCAGCTGTCACTCACGCAGCTGGGCGGATCCCGTCATCTAAGTCGGGATCCGCTCCAGGTGCGGCGTCTCAGTATACCGCGAGCTCTAGCTGGCGGTATACTGAGCTTAGGGTAACGGGAGGACGCTAGTTTGTGTCCTCCCGTTACCCCAAGGAGAACTATGGGGAAAAACACTGACCCCATAGTTCTCCTTTAAATCTTGTGAGAAGACGCTGCAGCAACGTGATGGGTGATGGCAACTAGTGATGGGCTCGGGCGTGTTCGCAAGCGCCTCGTACCGAGCCCGCCGGGAAGCTGTCAGCGCGCAGCCCAATCACACGCACTGAGACATTTCCCGATCTCTGCAGCTGCGAACCGAGAACATGTCTCAGTGCCTGTGATTGGCCCTGCGCACCGACGGCTTCCTGGCGGGCTCGGCGCTTGCGAACACGCCCGAGCCCATCACTAATGGCAACCTCTCCATTGCGAAAGTATGGAGTTAACTATATGTCCTACATTTTTTGGTGTGTGTGTTTTTTTTTTACAACGATCACATAGGAATGTGCGTGGGCTTGGTGCAAACAGAGTTCATCCAAGTCCCTACTAAACTGTCAGTGACGCATCCTCCTCCCAGCCCAATCAGTGGCAGCGGTTGCACCAAAGGGGCATTCCTCACCCTTTTGAAATATAGCTGTGGGACAGGAAATCTCTCCACAACTGATATGGTCAGGGGGAAGAGGCATTCACATTCTGAGCGGGCTTTGGTGAACTCAGGCGAACAGGGTCTGTACCAAGCCCGGGCTCATCACTACTCACTACTACATCACTACTAAGATGAGTGTTTTGTAAAGGAGTATCGATTTATCCCTCCAATAAAAACCCTTTTGAATGCATTCGATTATTTTGAAATTTTGCTAGATTCTATGGGGGAATTTATCAAAACTGGAGCAGTTGCCCATGACAACCAATCAGCTTCTCTCTTCAGTTTGCTCAGTTAAGATTTGAAAATGAATGAGAGAAGCTGATTGGTTGCCATGCACCGCTGCTCCAGATTTTGATAAATTGCCTTCTATATCTTTTCTGGATTGAACCCACTTCTTTCCGATTGGTCTCTGGGCACTTCAATGCATTTTTATGATTTAACTCCCCAGTATAGTGTCAGTTTATTTTAGCTAGATCAGATATATCTCTTCTGAATTGAACCTACCTCCTTTTGCTTGGTATCTGGGCATTCAGAGTGCAGCGTCAAAGTTGCCCCTTCAATATTCCTTGGCATTGGCATAGAGCCAGGATTAATGGTAAAATGAATCTGGTCCGGAGAAATGATGTGCTGAACATATCCTTGTGTCATTGCATCCTGTTCAGACATCAGCAAAAGTCCTTCTTCATTGGCCGCATCCAAGAAAGGTAAGTTGGTTCCTACATTGGCATCATCTTCCTCCTCGTCTTCCTCTTCCTCCGAAGGATGCTGATCCTGCTCTATAAGGACAGTGGTGGTATCGTAAATGGTGGCCGATTCCCGCCCTCCCTTTTCCAAAAACCACTTCCTCATCTTGTCATCCGGACACAATCCATCCTCCTCCATAGACATCAGCGTCAATTCTGGACTATTCTCACCCATGATTGCTTCAAAAAAAAAAAAAGAAGGTCAATGACCCTTCTCACAAGAGATGAACAAACTATCTCACTCTAAGAAAAAGAAAAGACTGGCCACATTATTTTCATTGGACAACATACATTCTGGTAAAAAAAACAAAAACAAAGTGTCCAAAAAAAGAAAAATATGGAAAGGAATGTTGCTGTGTTTGTTAATTTCACATCCAGATGCTTTTTGCTGCCATGTTCACATCACTTATATTATCTTTGAACAGATCAGGTTTTTCTTCACATATTTAACATATGGATGGTAACGAACTAGATTTAGATTTGGCTTGTTTAATTGACAAAAAAAGTCCAACCAATTATCTGTAGCTGAATTTAGCACAGCGTTTCTCCTTTTCCTTCATCCAAAAGACTTCCTTCACACGTACCCAGGCAGGGATCGTCTGACGTGACACAGTGTTCACCAGAAAGTCCCCGATAATGGACATAGTGCTGCCTGGTCCTCCAGTATTCGGAGCACACTGGGGGCAGCACTTTGTCAGCAGTCCCTTAGGCAGGGTGCCCCCCTGTCCCTTCTCATTGGAAGTCTAGGAAAGAGAGATACCAGAACTAACAAACTCCCTCGTCCACACAGCAGCGACTCTCCTCCATTCACACACCGCTGGGACTAGCAGAGTGCAGCTAAGACGCTTTCCGGTCGCTTTTATGGCTTGTCTCGGCTCCGGTAAAAAACACAGCGCTGTCTTGTCCCTCCAATTACGGCTTTAGGAGATAACACGCACTGCTACCCGAACCTGCCACTGATCCCTGGCCTTCCGTCCTCATATCATGCCCGCACAGCGCCACTTCCTGATCCGCTTCCTTCACCTGAATATCGGGAGATACGGAAAGCAGTAAGGGACACACTGCTAGAAAACGAGCACTCGAGGAGATCACGTGACGGAAGACCGTGAGCCTGTGGGGAGGAATAGAACATGTGACAGGAGTCGTATCCTTGGCAACAGGATCGTAGTTTCAGTGACGTTTAAGCCGTTACATTGCGAACGTAGCGCCATCTATTGGTACTAGTTTTAGATCATGAGTTCATGGCACATAATAACGCGAAATAAACTGTGGAGTAAAACGCTCATTGGCAGGAAGGAGTGATTCGCATGCTGCCACCCTCGACCTAAGTTGAGGATTAAAGTCCTTGGGGTGAATTTGCAAAAACTAGAACAGCTGTGCATGGCAACCAATCAGCTTCTGCAGGTTCAATTAAGCTTTGAAAATGAAAGCTAGACGATGATTGGTTGCCATGGGCAACTGCTCCAGATTTTGCCTGCACCATTCTTAGTAAATTTCCCTCCTTGTTTTGAGGATTGTTGATGGAAGTGAGGTACCCTGTGTTTTGAAGTGGACCTAAACTTTTCACAATATCTGCGTTCGGTCTGTGCTGGCTGTTTATTCCAGCGCAGCCTGAGCAGAAGACATAATCTAAATGTCATGGATGGGCTCGGTTCACACCACCGCGCTCTGGTGGTGTGCGCGTAAAAAAAGAAATGCATGCATCGCACCACTTTGAGCCCATAGAACTGCATGAAATGTCTCTTGTGACATTTAAAGGAGAACTATGGGGTCAGTGTTTTTCCCCATAGTTCTCCTTAAGGTAACGGGAGGACACAAACTAGCGTCCTCCCGTTACCCTAAGCTCAGTATACCGCGAGCTACAGCTCGCGGTATACTGAGACGCCGCAGCTGAAGCGGATCCCGACGTTGATGACGGGATCCGCCTAGCTGCGTGAGTGACAGCTGGCTCTGCCTATCTAGAGGCAGAGCCAGCTGTACCCGCCCCCTCCCCCGTCCGTTCCGCCAGTCAGCGCTGGCAGATCGGAGAGGGGAATCCAGCCCTCCCCCTGTCACGGCAGAGAGCCGTGACAGGATCGAGAGGTGAGCGAACCTGGTATGTGTTCGCTCACCTCCCGATCTACTGAGCCGACCTGTGACAGTCTCATTGTCACAGGTCAGCTAGAACTATGAGGTGAGTGGAAATCACTCGCCTCATAGTTCTCCTTTAAATAAAGTTCTACAAAAAAGAAAAGTGTGATGCGGCTCGGTCACATGCATTGGCACTGTTCAGGGACACACACATACACCAGCAGCCGTGTGGCTGAGCGCAGCTGCTAGTGTTACGGTACTTTAAGGGAGTAAAAAAATGCAGCATTTTTATCAGTACAACTTGTTTTTCCTGGATCTGAAAGCAGCTGTATTGATTTCTATGGGTTCAGGTACACAGCTGTGTAAAGATCAGTGCAATGTACAAACAGAGCTAGCTTTAGGCTGGCCATACACCTTACAATTATCTGAAGATTTTCTATGGCCAGATGGAAAAAGTGCAACAGATTCCTCCATTTATGCTAAACTGCGTGGATGGAGGAATCTCCCACTGGGCCAAGTTTCAGTACCTTGCTAGTCGGCCCCACTGGCTCTAAAATACCTGAACAATCTGATTAGATGCAGGCATTCTTCAGATATTTTGAGAGCCAGCTGGCAAGGTATTAAAGCTTGGCCTAGTGGGAGATTCCTCCATCCACACAGTTTATTATTACTATTATAATACAGGATTTATATAGCGCCAACAGTTTGCGCAGCACTTTACAATATAAGGAAGACATTGAAATCACAATGCAATTCAAGACAAGATGGTAAGGAGGGCCCTGCCCCTGAGGGCTTACACTCTAAAAGGGAAGGGCCAGTGATACATGAGGAGGTAGCAGTTTAGAGTAGATGGAGGAATCTGTTGCACCTTTTCCATCTGACCATAGAAAATCTGCAGATAATCTATAGGTGTATGGCCAGCTTTATCAGTAAATGGCAGGACCTAGCAGCATGCAAATCCATATCAAATTGTTTGTTCAGCGGTTTTCTCACTCTGAGTTTATTCTTTTGAAAAGCTGAACAAAATTTTTCCCCCACAGAGGGTACATCACTCAGAACAAAATTTGTTTTATTCCGATCGAACATTTTAGTTGCTGCCAAGAACCCTCTTTCGATTCTAGCTCAAATAGCCCATCATGCACAGACCAATGTCCATTTTGATAATCGTTCGTTAGCGATACTAACTCAACTAATTTTGACGATCGACAGTACGGATTTTGGTTTGCGCATGCACAGTACTCTTGCTGCGATTTTTTTCCACTAACCCATCGATTTTTGTTGGAATCGAAAAAAGCTTTCCAGCCTCACCCTTCGAGAAAAATCGACCAATTGTTGGTGTCACATCAAGTGTTTGATTATTGTTCGAAAGTCCATTCGTGGAAGATTTCCGAACGACAATCGAAGAGTGTATGGGCACCTTATGTAGAATACATAGTGTGCGGTTGGGTGTGGTGCAAAGAAAGTGTTTTAAAAGTGCTAAAGACAGAAATATCAATGATGACATTTTATTGTGCTTGTCTAAAATGGTAACGTACCACTCTATACATAATAACAAAGTATAAAACAATGATACATAGTTACATAGTTAAATAGTATTTGAGGTTGAATAAAGACATTAGTCCATCAAGTCCAACCTATTAGGATCTCATTCTAGGAGTACCCGTACCCCTGTATATTACGGTCCCTTAAGAAATCGTCCAAAAGTTTCTTGAACAATTCCACATTATTTGCTGAAATCACCGCCTGTGGCAGTGAGTTCCAGACCCTAACTGATCTTACTGTGAAGAACCCCTTTCGCTCCTTGTGCTGGAATTTTTTGTCCACCAATTTTAGGTGATGGCCTCTAGTTTTTGTAACGGAGTTAATTTTAAACAGTTTATCGCTAATGTTGCTACCACCATTAAACATTTTGTACATGGAAATCATATCCCCCCTTAATCTCCTCACCTCTAATGTGAACATGTTTAAATTTAGTAGCCTTGTCTCGTAGCTCTGGTCCTCCATACCCCTAATTAGTTTGGTTGCCCTTCGCTGGACTTTTTCCAACTCAAGGACATCTTTTCTTAGTACTGGTGACCAGAACTGGACCGCGTACTCCAGATGAGGTCAAACCAATGATCTATAAAGTGGCAAAATTATAGACTTGTCCCTGCAATACATCCCCTTTTAAATACAATGATGATGACGTTCTGGGATACAATGATCCCAGAACGTCACACAATGCACCACAGGCAGTTACCGCAAAGTAGGACCACAATTTATATACATCTCATTGGCCTCAAACAAGGTCCATTCTTGTGTGTATAGATAAAGGTCACAGCAGATAATGCCCGGCGGTGTCTTTCACCTCGACACATTTCGCCTCTAAGGGCTTCCTCAGGAGAAGAACATTTAGATTATACAAATAAAAAAGACCACCAATGCCATATGCAGGAGCAGTACAGTATTCCACAGAAGGAATACTTCCCGGGGTGTTTGCCACTGGAAGAGAAGGCCAGGATAAAAAGGTAATCCCTTTCCCTGTTGATCCAGCGGCCTGTCCACTCACGTGCAGCAACCTGTCTTTTTTATTTGTATAATCTGAACTCACCCTTTTGTGAATAACCCTGTAAGTGTGACAAAACGCTCAAGACAAAGCATCCCATTCATTTCTATGGCTCCCGTTCCACCTGAGTGTTGTGTTGCAAGCAGAAAATTGCATATTGCTGGAAAAAATACATGAGCTTCTCTTGTTCTCTGGCAGATCACAGAGCTTTTTGCTCCTATAGACTTCAATGGGAAATTTCATGCAACAAAACATGTAACAAAATGCTTGAATCGCTCTTTTCCAGATGTTTCTATTGACCAAAAACCGCTGTAATCTGCCAAAAAGTAGCTCATGTACTTTTTCCAGTGACAGGCGTTTTTCTGCTTGTGACAAAATTGTCAAGTGTGAACAGGGGCCACAGAAATGAATGGGGTTCTTTGTCTTGTGCGTTTTTTTGCACTTACCTTTGAACAACAAAACACCTAGGAGTGAACGGGGCTTAAACAGAGCAGGCTTTTGGGCTCCAGGGGCTCCCCTGACACAGTGGAAACAGTTTGAGTCAATAAAGGTACTTTGTGTCTGCCTTTTGGTAGTATTGTTCATCTAAACACTTCTTGTGACCTGATTGATTTAAATAAACAAGTTAGAGATTAATTTCAGATTAAATACATGCATAGTATTTCAGCGTGCTTAAAGTGTATTCCCACTTTCGCAGCCGAATTGGGATAACACCGTTGTTATATTTGTTGCATGTTCCCATTCACATAACATAAGCTAGAAAACAATTGTGTTTACATATTTCTTGTTTTTTCTCTGTACTGAATATTCCTCTGGAATGAAAGAGGGTGGTGGGGGGGGGTAATATTAACATAATTACCCCTGTCTGTACTCTGCTGGCAGATCTCATTATCAGTTGTAAACCAGATAGGAACTCTATCGTAACAAAGGGTTAAAGAATTTGACCCCTTCATCTGTTGTGGAACTAGCAGTCCTAAAAGGCATTCCAAAGCATGACAGTCACATGCATGACTTTCAGAGTCAGATGCATGATGGGGTTCGTAGTTGCAGAGCCTCAAATCACCTCATCTTGTTGCTCTGGCAGACCTAAGGAATAAAGTGCCCTGGTGCAAGATTTTTTTCTCAGAAGCT